ATGCAGCAAATATACTGTGTTTTATTATCCAAAACTGTTTTTTCCGTTTTTCTCGAGTTGAAGTTTTGATTGAATACGACTCATTGGGACCGCCGCCAGATCAAGTGCGTTCGGACTAGAACATTCAAACTCGCATTTATCGTACAAAAGATAATGATGGTGCGAAATATGTCTGGGTTTTTGAAGAAAATGCTTTGTCACAGAATAATAGTCTGTTAAAGATGCCAAGTATGGAATAATTAGGGGACAAAAAAACAAACCGGCGTAGAAATCGCAATAATAGGTCTTTTGATTATCGGAGACGCATTTCAATGACTTGATTACAGACGAAGCTCTCGAAATCGCAGACTTAGTCATTTTTACAAGGTTTGCCATTTTTGTGGTCACGTGGTAATTACGTGAACATTGACTCTCCAGTTTGTGTGAACTTGCCCCTCTATACTTAGGCTTTTGAAATATATACGCTAAATTACGGTTCTTAATGAGACAATAGACAGAGAATGCTTTAATCAAAAACGTCACCAAACCCTTCGCGCTACCTTAAGTACGCCATGCACCTACGATTAGGCATTTTTATTTTTTATTGTGTCCTGCCCATATCAAACAAAATATCACTGAGTATATTTTTTAATATCACGTTGATGAATATAAATCAAATTCATAGAATTTTTGGTTAATAACTTTTTAAATATTTTTGAGTACGCATTGTGTACAACTTTAGTAATTTCCAAGTTCCTTAAATTGTGCTACAAAATTCAATGGTTTCAATAAGAACCCCAACCTCCAATATTTTTCAATAGAGGTGGTATCTGCCATTAAGAAGTAAAATGAAGTAATGACATGGAGGAGTCACATTCCTGTACATATCATAGTATACTACATGTTGCTTTCACCTGTTTAGTTCATTCAGTAGAGTGACATGCATCAATACAGCTCGTAGATATAGAGCGTTGCTGCCTACAAATTGCACATTTTCAAATAGTAATAGGAAGGTTGTATTCTCCTGTTGCGTTATATGGGAATAATTTGCTTTTGAAAAAGAAGTTTTACAAGAATTAACCTTACTGGTATGGCATTGTTACATTTTACGAGTAGCGCGAGTATATATATATATATATATATATATATATATATATATATATATATATATATATATATATATATATATATATATATATATATATATATATATATATATATATATA